TTGGTCCAATGTAATCACAGACTTCCTTAAAAGTGGAAGAGAGGCCAAGAGGAGGTCAGAGTGATGCAACACGCAAAGAACTTGACCTGCTCTCGCTGGCTCTGAAGATGGAGAAAGAGGGTCGTCAGCAACGGCTTCTAAAAGATGGAAGAGACAAGGAAATGCGTTGTCTCCTGGAGCCTCCGGAAGGGAACAGAGTCCAGCCCACCCCTGGATTTTAGCCCAGTGAGACTTCTGTTGGGTTTCTCCTACAGAATAGTATGATAATACATTCGTGTTGTTTAAGCTACTAAGTTTGTGGTAATTTGTTTCAGCAGTCAGAGAAAACAAACAGGTTGATATCTTTATCTCCCATTGTATGGATGAGAGTCTGAGGCTCAGAGACTTTGGGGCACTTTCCCAGGATCACACAGCCTGGTTTCAATGATGGAACCAAGATAGGAATCCACGTCTATCTGACTACAAGCTGAGGCTTACCCACTGCTGGTAGGAATTTACACGATCAATTAACGCTGAAAAAGCTAATGACAACATCTACCAATGCCTAAAGATGTGACCCAGCTCTAAGCTCCTAGAATACAGATCTGGACCTCAGGTCTCCTCTGAGGAGACTGTGCTTAAAAACGTGTTCCTCCTGAGTGTGTGTGGCGCCATGTTGCGAAGTTCTGTGGAAATGTATGTCATTTCTCACTGTGAAATTTTCACAGAAGGTCTAGGAGCTTTCAGAGAGCGAGATTAACAATGGACTTGTAGAAAAGGACAGCAACGCTCAGGGCAACGTGTAGGCTATGAAATGTATCACATTCTAGAAGGAACATGATAGTGGAGATCAATCAGAAGAAACCTGAAGGTCTGAAGAGACCAGGGGAGATGATATCAGGAGAAATGTCAATTCACAGGCAAGAAGGGAAAATACTGGAAGTAAGGAAAACTACTGAGTTTGTATTTTGCTTTTCTCTCGCTCACCAAAGTGGCATGAAAGCAAGTAACGTCACATGAGATTGTTTCTAGTAAGTAGGGAGATGACTTGAAGTTCATATGAGCCAGTGAGTCTAAGTTCACAGCACAAGCCAGTTAGATTCTCTTAAGCTCCAAGAGGTCAGGTAATGAAAATATAAATAAAATAGCAGAGGCTCAAAGGCAAATCCTTTTTCAGCCACCAGGAAACCTATTAGACTTATTACAACCTCCTTCAAGTGTTTTGTTTGATAACCAGGGGGCCTGCCCCTTTAAGGAAAATACTCAACTGGACTTAAAATATTTCCCACAGAAACACAGGAGTTCCAGGAAGCCTTCTTCTGTTCTCATCTTGGCCTTTTAATGTCCAATGTCCATTATTCATGGAGGCCCAGAGAGGACTGGAGGAGCCAGGGCCGTTCTTGGAAGCACTTGCTGCCAACAGGCTCTGAGGAGAATTTAGCTGAGCCCGAAAACCCAGCAAAGCCTCAGACTCCAAGTCAAGCAGGTTAAGAAATAATTCTTCATTCAGCTGGACCTTTCACACTCTCAATGACTTAATGAATTTAGTGAATCGAGTTTGATTTTATTCACGTTGGCAAATGATTCTGACAAAATCTATCCTTATATCTATGAGGGACTCAGCATCCCTATGGAAGGTCAAATGAAGCACTTGATGGTCTGGGTTATTGTTGAATGTACCCCAGTTGGACAAAGCACATTTGGCTTAAAATGTAGGAGAACAGTGGGGGGTTGCACTGTTGTGGTTTAACAAGGTTTAGAGCAAGTTGTTTTGGACGCGGAGACCTGGATTTGAATTTGGCGTCTTCCCACTTCCACCTCAGTCATCTTGAGCTAAGAGGTTACTTGATCTTTATGAATCTCAGTTTTCTCATCTGCTCAACTGGTATAAAATAGTACCTGATCTTGCATTAAATAGGAAAGTGGAGATAAAGCGTGTGGCATTGTTCTCTGTGTAGACTAGATGCTCAGTAGATAGTAGCAATTAAGAATGATTTTTATTAGTGAAGGTACTCACAAGGATTTTGTTGTTATCTAACTTCCCTGACCTTTGGTTTTCTAACCTGATACGTGGGAGTACTGCTAGCATCTATCTCATAGTGCTGTTGTGGTTAAATGCAAAATGCTTAGCTCAGTGGCTGGCGCACTGTATGTGCTCAATAAATGTTAGTTGTTACTTGATAGTTGTTATTAAAAATTCTTATCTTTGGACAGCCAGATAAAAATCACATGGCATACTGAAATTAAAGTCTTATTTATATGCTGGGTAGACTGGGAGTTAATGGGAAAAAAAATCAGTTAGGAAAGGGACAAGTTCTAGTATTTTTCCTGGCATTACTTGTCCATTATTTGAGCCTTTCAAACTTGAGTGTGAGCTCCAAGATGCCAGGAGCTGTATTTTGCTCACCTCACTATGATTAGAAGTCTTTGACTTATAAAATCTCAGGCTTATGTAAGTGTGGAGTAGACATTCAATAGACAACTAATATTTGTAGAGTGCTGTACAGTTCATCAACCTTTCCCGCACACCACCAGGTCGGTTCTTGTCATTACCCTATGAAGCAGGATTATCTGCGTTCCCATCTTACATTCTAAGCAATAATAGTAACATTCATCCATCACTGATCACTGTAGTAGGTGATTTTGATGCTCTGTGCTGTTTTCTCTTGGCCAGTCTCTAACTTCAGCCGCAGTTGTGAGGGGTAGTTCCTGCTCACGTTGACAGTGACCTGCACCTTCTGTGGCTCCCGCCTCATCCTTCCTCAAGGCTACTGTCCCCGGGAATGGGGTAAATGGGGAAGGGGAGGGCGGTGATAGCACTCATGTCAGTTCCCCTCCTCCCACAGCCAGCATGCTGCCTAATAGTTGTTAGGACTCAAGGTCACAAGAGCCTGCTCAGTCTATAGGCAAGTGCAACCTGGAAATGTGGGAAAGTTATCAACCCTTTGGACAACTCTCAACCAGTTGAGGGGATGGAGGTTGGGAGATAAATATTCCCACTCTTGTCCCTTGCTTGAAAATTGCTGGAGCCACTCTGAACACTAGTCAGAGATCCTGACGGAACTGAGCTCCTATTGGTCTTACCAGCAACAACTAATGTGCTCTTTTAACGGATGGATTTTCCTCCTTTCCTGTCTCACTCTCCCGCCTTGTCAGTCCTGCATCCTAGAATTACCTAGAACCCGGACTGAGAATGTGCCCGCTGTATGCCAGAGGCTGCTATGATGTCTTTACACGGCTTACCTTTTTCATCCTGATACCAACCCTATGAGGCAGAGCTTATCTTCATTGTAGAGACAGGGGAACTGAATGAATGAGTTTAGCATCTTGCAAAGGCATTTACTGACCTGCCCACGATCCCCAGTGATTGAAGGTGGTCCCTAGGGTGTAAACTCCCCTGCGTTCCAGGGTGCACCTGCCTTCAGGTTGTGGCTCCAGAGAAGTCCCTGGGCTTTGGAGAAGGCGCGGAGGAAGACAAAGGACAGGCAAGTAGATGGCAGCACAGGGATTCTAACCCAGGCGGCGGGATCTCAGAGCCCACTCTTTTTATTTGGATGCTTTACCTCCTCCGAGGAAACGAAGGCTCAGGAGGTGAAGTCACATCCTGAAATACAGCTAGTGAGCAGGGAGGCTTCGATGCCAAATGAGGTCTACTGGAAACATAGACCCAAGGTCTCCTACCACACTGATTACTCTCCTTTTCAAAAGGCCAGATCTACTGTTCTTTTCTTGGAACCAGAAGGAATAAAACCAGCTTAACGAAATCCCCGTTGGACTACAGCAGCATTTTACTGCAAATCTGCAGTGGACTCTGGAAGCATGTCTCTATCTGGACCAGGGTGGATAGTGCTTTCCATGACAGAGCCCCGATGTATTATGGGACTGTTAAGGTTGGTAAAAAGAACTGGTGATTCTGAGCATTTCTCCACTTTGGAGAATTCATGACAGCATAAGAATCAGAGGCCAGGGCTTCCCTGGTGGCGCAGTGGTTGAGAGTCCGCCTGCCGATGCAGGGGACGCGGGTTCGTGCCCCGGTCCGGGAAGATCCCACATGCCGCGGAGCGCCTGGGCCCGTGAGCCATGGCTGCTGAGCCTGCGCATCTGGAGCCTGTGCTCCGAAACGGGAGAGGCCAAAACAGTGAGAGCCCGGCTCAACAAAAAAAAAAAAAAAAAAAAAAAAGAATCAGAGGCCACTCTGTGCCCTGGACAGTGCTGAAGAAAGCAGTCCAATCCAGCCGCTATCCCGAGAAATCAGAGGTGGATGGGCGGAGAACTCATGCCTGTTCTCCTTCTCCCACTCCCAGCCCACTGCCTAATGGGTGTTAGGTCAAAGGCCAGGATGTCCTCCACTCTATCCCGCACCCACCAAGATCTTGTCAAAATGCTGATCTCATCACGTCCCTCCTCTGCTTAAATCCTTCAGTGCTTTCCCTTAGCTTCTTTAGGATAAAGACAGAATTCTTGACCGTGGTGCCCAAGCGGGACACCCCCCCCCGCTCCAATAAGCAGCGACACCTCTCTCAAAGCCCCCCTCACACATTATGTGCTACATATCCATCCTGTCTCCTGCCATCTGAGAGCTTTGCAAGCCTACTCTCTGCCTGGGATACTCTCCCTTCCACCATGTCCTTGTGAAATTCTGCGCTGTCTTGAGGCAGATTCAAGCTCCTTGACTTCCCCCTAAGCAGCTCGAGTCCCCCTGATAAGCATTCTCATAGAATCCTGTGTCTTTGTTGCACATAGTGTAACTGGGGTATGATTATTTTACTGTCTGTCTCCTCAATAGAATGTAAGCTTCCTGAGGTGGGGCGTGTTTCTGCTTTCGCTATTGTATCCCCAGTGCCTGGCAGAGCAGTGGGTATACAGGAGGTCCTGGAATGACGGAATCAATCAATGAACAGCCCTGGGCTCATAAAGCAAGGTCAGGGTGAGAGACTGGGAAGACTGTGCACTTATCCTTTGTTCTCTCATTGTTCAAGCTCACCAGGTTCTATTGCTGTAACTCTCCATTATCCAGCCAGCACGGTATGCAATAACTTTATTAAGGTCAAAGAGATATCACGATACAGATTTATCCAACAGGATCCAGAAATGGTTTATACATACCATCTAAGACACACAGCCGTTTTGGCCTAAAGTATTTCCAACATCACAGATCACACAATGAGTTTATACATCGATAACGACTTTTATCTGGAAATACAGATGCTCAGCTTGCTCTCACTGTTGGGCCCTGGCTTTTCAATTGAGTTAAGACAAACAGGCAAAGATTAACATTTTCTTGATAATGAATACATTCTGGGGAATATTTAATGAGAAATATTTAATATTTAATGACAGAAAGGAAGTCATTTTTAATTTACGGGTAACATTCAAATCAGACTTTGTAAGTTGAGCCAAGACTTGAGAATTTTTAATAATTGGATCTAGGACGTATTAGCTTTACAAATAAACAGGATTTAAAAGTTTAGCTGGTAGTGTAGGTTCCACAGACTATCCTTCATAAATTAACATGTTAGCACACTATCTTGACTATGGTGTCTGATACCTACATCTCCATTATTCTAAGGAAACAAAACTCCATCCACACTCATAGTTATTGGGCCCATTGTTCATGGTCCATAGAATAAAAGCCACAAAACACCATAGAAAGTTACAAGAGTGTAAATATTTAGCTAACTAAATAGCATAAATATTGGGCAATTTCCATATACAACACTGAATATATACTAATCAGGGAAAAACAAAAACCCCAAATCTTAGTTACAATGCATTCAGAACTGGATAAAGCCAGAGAGACAAATTTGCAAGTATACAAAGTGGTGAATATATTTCTGTAAACGTCCATTTAACAAATACGTGGTACAAACTGGAAAATTTTCATAAATACAGTTCAAATGTTCATTTTGTGAGAAAATGCTTATTCATGCACTAAATCATATGAGCACTGATTCATCAAATAAAAAAAAATACATAGTAATTGTCTGAAAGCAATACTTAGAGACTCACAATTCTACCGGGTCTGCAACTAAAAAATAATAATACATGCACGTTGTGATGCACCAAACAGTATTAGAGAAAATCACTAAAATGCCTTTCGCGCCAAAAATCGTAAGAAAACTCAGTGCTGTTTAATTTACTTTATGCATATTACATACCAGAGACTTTAAGCTACAAAATGCTTCTACTATCTCAACACGCATACAAAACGACCATAAAAGTATCTGTGTATATAACAAGGTACTCTCCAATCAGCCATCTTGATGAATCATGTATCTCCTCATGTCATCTCTTCTCTAAGTACCATTCATCACGACCCAGGCCTTTCTGCTTTAATGAGGACTAACAGATCTCTTATTTACATTCAACACTCCCTGAATTAATAACTGATTGAAACTCTTAAAAAATTCTCCTGCCACTGACATGGAAGGTGGTGAGGCTGTGTTTGGAAGAATGCCAACACTACCCTGTTAAATCTGATTGGTAAAAGAAGCAGGGCCACCGGGCTGTTGGCCAAACTCATCCGAGGATGGCCCCAAACTCGCCTGCTGGTTGTACCCACTGCTTGATCCATAGGTGTCTTGGTTGTACCCGCCTTGGTTATAGCTACTGGAGTGTCTCTCCACTGGGTCTGAAAGGTATCTCTGGCTCGAGGAATGCCAGCCGGTCTCCTTGAAAACAAACCAGATGTTTCCAGCCCAGAGAATAAAGTTCAAGAATCCAAAGACCTGAAGGAGGATCAAAGCAAGTGAGTTGACAGACTGGACAGAAACCCCAGAAAAATCTCAGTTTCAGAAAAATCCTTCACAACACAAAAGGTCACTTTTTACCTCAATGTGGAGGCCTCTTCCAATTTCACATTTGGAGTCACTGTTTCATTTAGAATATCTGACTTTTCATGAAGGCTTGCTACAATACATGTTAGGCACTGCATAAAAGGCTTTATGTATATCCATTCATTTAGGCAAAGAAGGTGCTATTATTATACCCATATTAAAGATGTGAAAACTGAGGTTCAGCAAAGATAAGGATTTTATTCAAGGTCACATGGCGTGGTTAGTAGTAGACCTGGGACAAGCCCTGTTCCATCTAACTCCATAGACAGAGCGCCTACCTAATCCATCACTACCTCCCCGGATGAGGTAATCCTCATGGTGTGTAAGATATCTTCAGGGGACACAGGGTTGAGTATTTTCATTTTAATGATGGTGCATTAATTTATAAGGTTACCTTCACTTTAATGCTAGAGTTACTATTTTTCCATTTATTGAAATGATATAAATAAAATGAGTCAACCTAACAAGTATGGAGTGGGCTTCCCTGGTGGTGCAGTGGTTGAGAGTCCGCCTGCCGATGCAGGGGACGCAGGTTCGTGCCCCGGTCCGGGAAGATCCCACATGAGCCATGGCCGCTGGGCCTGCGCGTCCGGAGCCTGTGCTCTGCAACGGCAGAGGCCACAGCAGTGAGAGGCCCGCGTA